AGAAAATGGAATCTATCTTTTATGGAATAACCTTAACTAGTCCCTCAACTAATTCCTTTGTTCAAATTAAACCCTCTTATCTTAAGAACTTAACATAAACTCCTCAAAGTAAACCTTTATACGGAGTCGCTGGCCAAAAAAATGCGTTAGAGAGTTTACCAGTCTGATAAGAGTGAGTACAAATACATATAAAAAGAAATTATCTTAAATTTAAAAGGCATGTATATTAGATTTATAAGCCTCTGCATGTATATTTTACTCTTTCGCTTTATTTTCTTTTATGTGAAATTTATTTTCACTTTATTTTAATTTTAAGAGTTCATTTGGTTTCATAGAAAATAATTTCATTTTGAAAAATATTTTCTATAAAAATATTTTCTTTTTCAAAGATTATTTTTGATGTTTGGAACACTTTAAAAAACTTTTTAGGAGAAATATTCTAATTATTGTTTGGTAAATTACGAAAAATCTTTAAAAATTTTAAAATATTAATTAATTAAAAAAATGAAAACTAAACATTAAAAAATAATTAAAATCACATTTATTATTTTTAGAATTATCTACTATATATTTTTTGGTTCGATTATATTCCTTTGGTAATATAGTAGATAATTTAAAACTAATAAATGTGTTTTTGATTATTTTTTAATGTTTAATTTTATTGTAAATATATATCACTCACTTTTAACTACAGCCTTATTTCATTACATTTAATTATTTCAAGATGATTATTGAGAAAAGGAAGTAGGGACCATGGTTTCACAGCAGCAACCTTTGGAGGTCAACGACTCCAGCAAATAAATTTCGATCTTGCGTGGAGGAGACGTGTTAATGTACAACTTAAATAACGGGTCAAAGAACAACAAATGAATCCAAAGGATCAGCATCCTTTTCCAAAAAATAATTTCTAGAATGAAAATCCGAAAGTTATTTTCCAAGTTTTCCCTATGTGATTTTCTGTTAACTACAGTGGTTTTCCTTTGACTTTTTTTTTACTAATTTTTTAAATATAAAATTAAATATAAAAAATAATTTTTAAAAATGATTTCTTGTAAACCAAACGAGCCCTAAAAGTCCACACACTCGGCATGTCAACCTTATAGTCCTTGCTCCGACACAAAGCCCCTTTACTGTATAACTATTGCCCTTATTTTATGGAACAACCCTTTTTTGAAATGTCT